CAGGGGAATGCCGTTCAAGGAATCCCCCTTAGGATGGGGGTTCCTTGCTTGAATTCTCTTGCTGATTTCGGCTTGCGTCAGGAAAGTCTTGCCAGTCTCGGTGGCCCGTTACGGCGACTCGTTAAGGAGGTGCCTGGGCCCCAAGAAGGCTTCGGGTCCCTTTGTCAAGGAGCAGCGTGTGGCATCCGGGACTTGAGTGAATTTCCTCATGGAAGCTTACATCAACCATGGGAATCTGGCCATCATTGTTTTTTGAGCTTTGATGGCCCATGGATTGCCCATCCATGCTGATTGGGAGGCTCTGGATTCAACTGCTTGTGGTCATGGAGGCCATGGGGAGGTTCTGGGAGTTAACAGAAATCTAAACATTTCAAGTCCCGGGTAGAGACGGGGGGCAAGATGGATGCTTTTGGATATTCGAGGGGCCTATGTCTCAGTGCTGGAGAAGGCATTTTGCGCTAGATAGTACTGCCCCTCTCTGTGTGGGGTGTGAGTGCATTTGTCTCATGCTACTACCACGTTAAGGAAGTTGCTCCGGAGACAAGCTAAGCGTGTTCCCTTTCCTGACACCTTGGAAGAAGCTAGTGGCATCCATGGTAGATGGCAAGGATGGAGACGCGATCCACGGGTCCCATGGTCAAGTTAGATTTAAGTCACACGAGTGACCTGATTCAAGGTTTTTGCTGTTTTCAATAACTCAGATTCCACTCTTGATGCAGAACCTGCTTACCTTTCCCTTCTTTCTGGGGGGGGGGGGAAGCTTGTTTCTCAGAGGGCTTTGGACTAGGTTTTTTGGGTCAACAGACTTGCCAGCATCTCTGGTAGACGGGGGTCAACCAGAAGGACTCGTGGTAACAGCTTGGTGTAGCGCTATGCCCCTGTGAGCTACAGCAACCTCCGGGTTTGTATTCCATCCTACAGAACTGCACTGGCAAGATGGAGGAGTTTTTTCTCTTTGGGTCCTTCCTGGAGGCCACCATGATTGACCGGAAGAATGGAGACAAGCCTATCAACTTTGAGGTCACGATAGGTTTGTATCCAGGTGGAGAGGAGGGAACGTTTCCTTAAAGGATGGGGTGACCCGTCTGTGAAAGGGGTGTGCCGTCTGCGTGGCGCTGTCCAGAATTTGGCACCCGGAGTAGGGTTTGCCGAAGCGTCACCCCACCCTCCAGCGTTCAGGTTTCCCCAACACCCCTGTGGCTCCTTTTCTCCTTTCCTAGGCAACTACGGCAATGAGATTGACGGGCCCTCCAGGCCCCCCATCCGGAGGAAGAAAGACAGCGGAGATGGCAATGAGGAGGAATCCGAGCTGCTGCAGAACGAAAGCGACGAGGAGGGGGTGGATGATGGAGAATTTGTGTCCGTCTCCACGTCTCCCCCTCTGAAGCCTCTGATCACCGACAGGCAAGTGAATCTGGCCCAGGTGGAGATCCTGGTTGTCGGAGAGGAAGGAGAAGGAGGGAGATCCTTGGGTTGGTTGCCATTCCCTTCCTTTCTCCGCTTTTTGGTTCAGAGGTGAGGACAAAGATTCCCGCCTCTCCCCTCTGTGGGATCAAGGCTTGGAAAGCTAACTTCACGTGGCTCCATTACCACCACCCATCAGATTCCCTCTTTTACCGTGGGCTTTCTGCGGTCAAAAAACTAACTTTTCCAAGCTGTGCTTTGGCTACTTTACACTGAGCAGAAGGGATTTTATGAAACTCAAAGGGCCAGTGATCCTTTTTCAGTTAGATAATGGCTTCCTGACCTTGGGTCCCCAGATGTTCTTGGACTACCACCCCCAGAAATCCTGGCCATCACAGCTAGGGAGGAAGGCTTCTGGGAGCTGTAGTCCAAGAACATCTCGGAACCCAAGGGGGGGGACCACTGCTCTAGCTGCCATTGCCCCCACCTCCTCACCTTCACAGTACAGCCACAGAGCTGGGAGGCAAGAAGAAATTACTGCTACCGCCATCACCCTTTCCACAGCAGCTATCACTATTGTCGTCATTGGCATCATGGTAGTGAGTAGTGAGGAATGGTACTTTCTCTTCTTGCCTTTGGTAGTAGTAGGAGATGTGCTAGTGCTTCTACCATTTGTAACCTCGTCATGTTTTCTCATGCTTCTTCCCTCTGTTTTTTATCAGGAGAAAAAAA